AATAATTGTCTGCCATGTGATCCAATACAACAATCAGCATAGTAGTTTTGTTTGTTGTGTACGAATCTTGTTGTGTTTCAAATAATAATAATAATAATAATAATAATAATAATAATAATAATAATTTATTTTTTCCCCTAACATTCCTCATGGCTCAAAGTGGATTACAACATAGGTACAAATAATCATAAATGTTATTTTAAATATTGCAATCTTTGGAGAGGACCAGGGTCCCAAAATAGCCTCTTTTTTCCTTACAGACTCAGTATACTTTAGTTTAGATGAAGGACTCTCAAATCATATTCTCCAACTTTGCATAGATTAACAAAAACTGGCTCATGTCTGGCTAATTAACATCAGAGTATAGTCCAGACGGGAAAAGTTATTGATGAGGAGGAACATACACGTTTGCAGAGGGTGCAGCAGTTTGCTTTTGCCTGAACCAATTCGGCAAGATTTTTCCTCTTTCTCTATACTGAATTATTGGAATGCAAGTTAGTTTTCCACTTTGATGTCAGTTTGCAGCAATAGAAGTCCTCAGAGGACAAAGGGGGTAAGTGGAAGAAGGAATAGAAACATGGAGTTTGTCTACATTGAAGAATTAGTGCAGTTTGAATGCACTTTAACTTCATTTATTCAGTCCTTTGGAATCGTGAGAGTTGTAGCTTTACATGGTCTTTAGCCTTATTTATTTATTTATTTATTTATTTCTTGCACTTATTGACCGCCACTCTCAGCCCTAGGGGCGACTCGTGGCGGTGAACAATAACAAAGAAAGACAGCATACAAAATCATAACAGTACATAACAAACTACTACTACGACATATACTTATGCTAAAAATCCGCTTCGTCTAATCCTGGGGTCATAGCCAAGTTCGTAGTCATAATCCATTCTAACGTCGTTCCACAGATACACTTAGTTGAAGGCCTGCTCGAAGAGCCAAGTTTTCAGGCTCCTCCGAAAGGCCAACAGGGAGGGCGCCTGTCTAACTTCAGCAGGGAGGGCGTTCCACAGCCGGGGGGCCACCACCGAGAAGGCCCGCTCTCTCGTCCCCGCCAGACGTGCTGGTGTCTCATCAAACTACAACTTCCATGGTTGCATAGTGTCAAACTGCATTCATTCTAGATGCATCCTGGGACATGTTAAAAGCAGCTGATAAAAGAGAATACAGACAATAATGACAACTGGAGAATATGTCAGATGCAGTTAAAGAAAAAGGAAGGTGTTTGTGGGGCTCAGTGTTTCTAACATGCATTCTTTTTTCTTATCTTTTCAGTAGGTAGCATTTTATAAGTTGTGCCATATTAGATTTAAAAATCTATATTCTGGAGGAAGTTGCTGTTGCATGGTGGTATGTGGATTGCAATTTCAGTTCTCAGCAGTTCTCTTCCATGGTTACAACTGCTTAGACTTTTAACTGCCCTTGACTCTAGCGTGCTGTTTTTTAAGTACTTGTAATGATTGGTTTCTTTCGGAGCGTTGCTTGAAAACCTTCCATCTAATGTTGTTTGAAAAGTAATTTGGCTCCAATAAATTGGGCATTAACCTTCAGTAATCATGGATTAATCATCCATTCCTTGATACTTTTTAAACATCTATTCTTTTCCAAAAAGAGAAAGCAAGGAGAGCGCTTTCCAGAAGAATGCAACACAGATTGCTTTTGTCGAAAACGTTCTGCTTGAACTAAACAAAAAAGGAATATATAATAATGTAATTATTTTCAAACTATGGACTTGGGGCCAAAGAACCGTGAACGGAAGGGGAAAACATATTATGGCTGTTTAGCCAACTCTGCTGTGTGCAAAATCTTTCAGTAGCTTTCCTGCAAATTTATTGGGGATCGCGTTAAGAGATGAGAAATATGGCAAACAAGGAAGTAGAAGGACTTGTGCAAACTCTTGTGCAAGAGTTTGACCAAACAGAAAGACTCTTCAGATCTCTAGTTTAAACAAAGCTCTTCTATCAGGCCTTTTCATGAGCAGAAGAGGTTCTTGGCTACAGTTCTAACACTTTTGGATGCATGCAGTAGAGTTTGAGTAGACTCTTCTGTGTATACAATGCATTCATACCATTCAAATGTCCTGATTTGGTAGGTGCAGTCTCAACAAATCCTTTGCCATTCTACTTTTGCACCTGCTTTTAAAACATCGCAGTTTTTCTCTTTTCCTCCTGTTTCTCCCCTTGTCATCAGCTTCAGTTGCTGTAAACTGGGACCAAAATGCAAAAGTAGTTTGTAGTTCAAGATAGGAGAGGGTAGTGCAATCTTATCCTTTCCTATAGACACAGGCAGATACTTCTCTTAGGCCCCTTTCACATTGCCCTATATCCTAGGATCTAATCCCAAATAATTCTTTAAATTGGATTATATGAGTCCTTACTTTGGATAAACAGATAATCTGGGACCAGATCCTGGGATATAGGGGCTGTGAAAGGGGTCATATTTTATGTAATCTAACTCATTAATAATTCCTGGATTGTGTGGTCTTCTTCATTAATAATATTAATATCTTCCTCATTAATTCAATTTTTGCTACACTGATGTTGCTTAGTCACACATATCCTAGTTTTCATCTGTGAAATATTGGATGTGTGCTTTTGGTTGCCATCAAAAATAATAGTAGCTAAAGATTTAAGGATGCCAATTTTTTTTTAAATGTTGCAGGCATGCTGGTATCTGGCATTCTTCAGGTAGGAAAAATGGCATGTACTATATTTCATTTTAATAGGTGTTTCTGATGATGATGATGATGATGATGATAATAATAATAATGATAACTTTATTTTTGTACCCTGCCTCAGTCTCCCTGGAGGGACTTGGGGCGAGCCCAATTAACATAATTAAAATATAATGCATTAAAATATATAAGCAACAGCATAAACCAATAAAACAACAACATTATAACAAAATGTAAGAGCAAGCATCAAACCAAAAAACAATGAACCTGCAATAATGATGCTGTTCTGTCATGATATTGAACTTAAATGTATGCTTTGCAGCTCATATTCAAAAGGACTTATGCAAAATATACATAATGCTGCAAATACAGTTCTTTGGTACATTTTAAAAACCATCCTTTTTTTACATGTAGTGTGAAGAAAGTGTTTGTGTGAACTGTTAAAATGTTATCTGCCACTAGAGGGTAGTGTCTGCAAATAGATAAAGAAAGAAGAGCCTATGTCGTAGCTAGCTATTCTATTCCACTGAGACTTTGCTGTTTTTGTCCCCTTCTATAAAAGAAAGAAATCACAGCAAATCACTCTTCTGATCATATTAGTAAAGTTGCTGATTCATTCAGCCATGTTTTTTTATTATTTAGAAGCCAGAAACTATTCAAATTCAGTTCTTGATTTGTCATTTAGTAAAGTTACAACAACAAAAAGCCTGGCATCTGTACATGGAAATTTAGTGTGATTTTACACAGAAGAGGGAATTTTAACAGATTGGTAAATATTGTCCCTGGCCAAGTTCCACTTGCACACAGCTAGTGACCTTGGTGGGACTGAATATTTCTGTTCATATTAAAAAACAAATAAACACATTCTCAGATTGCTATTCTAATAAGATTTAGATGGAGCACAGAATTGCATCTGCAATAATTGCACCTAAATAACCTTGCATGTCCTTTGCTGGATTGGGATGACAGCATGGTGATAGATTATCAAGGCTTTGTGTCTTGTGAAGGAGTACAGACAACCCAAGTTCTGGACTTTAGTGTACTATCTGAAAACCAATATGATAAAGCAACTCATATCAAACTGAGCAGATGAACTTGAAAAAGAGCGAATCCCACTGAGCAACAAAAGTCCTACTTAACCAGGCTCTGATTTCTGAGATTTCTGCAGGCATACATAATCCTGAGGTTGTCACCTCTTAAGAAAAACTTAAGAACTTGGTGCATTTTTGTGTTACTTCAAAGAAAGTCAAAACTCTCTGTGCTCAAACAATGCCATCTTTTTTCAGACTCCCTTCACACAGCCCTTTGGATAACCTATTCTGCTGACACCTGCTCCTCCCGATTGTGATAAAATCTCGTGCTTATGGCATATAACAACTGCTCAGTACCGAGGAGGAGCATTGACTTGAATCAGAGATCAAGAAATTGTTCTGTCACTGAAAAGACTTTAGACTGTATCACATGCAGGCAAATCGTAACACGGTGGGGCTTGTACTGATATAAGGCTTTTTGATCCAGGAGAGCGTTTCATGAGCACCACAGGGAGGGGAAGTTACTTTCAGTCATCATCACAACAGGGATGGGAGATGACTTTTCTTGATCTTGCATCAGTCTGTACCACTTTTCTTTCTGTCCTGAAGAGTTACCAACTTTTCAAAGATCTGAGGGTGCAGGAGTGAGAGAAATAGCTTCTTTCCCTATTCCATTGATAAAACCCAAGTTGAATCAAAGACCCTTATTTGAATGAAAGGACTCCAGCTGGATATAACAAAAGGCTTATGTTTTGTTTTTATTGTTTTATCATTCAGTTTTTTTGTGTGTGTCAGGAGCAACTGCAAGTCACTTCTGGTGTGAGATAATTGGCCATCTGCAAGGATGTTGCCTGGATGTTTTACCATCCTGTGGGAGGCTTCTCTAATGTCCTAACATGGGAAGCTGGAGCTGACAGAAGGGAGCTCACCCAGCTCCCTGGATTCGAACCATCAACCTTTCAGTCAGCAGTCCTGCTGGCACAAAGGTTTAACCCACTGCGCCACTGGGGGCTCCTTATCATTCAGTGTTTTCAGTGAATTATCTTTATTTTCTCCCTCTTATAGATTCCTCCAGTTTGTATTACTTCTAGGAGCAAAATTCTCCATTTCTTGTGTTCTCATACAAAGTATTTAACAGTTATGTTTAGGCCCTTGCATATCTCAAGTTTCTTTTACCATCTTTCCATCATTGTGTGTGTGTGTGTGTGTGTGTGTGTGTATTGGGAAGGGGCAAAGCTGTTTTTCTGTCTTTAAGTCCAAATTTTAACAAGCTCTCCCCTGCTTTTTTGAAGGTATCGGAACGGGTAGAGAGAAGACTCCAGGAGATAGAACAAGAAATCCGCTCAGAAAGGCAGCTGGTAGAAAGACGCCAGGATCAACTGGGACATATGTCTGTTCATCTCCAAGAGGTATGCATAAAGGCCTTTTTGCACAGACAGAGCTGCGCTGCTGCAACTTGTTAGCTATCTAAATCCCTGCTAATTATTTACAGGGATGACTACCGTTCTTGCATATGTGTTTTGCTGGGGATCAAGCAAACTGTCAGACAGCAGTACATGAAAGAGGTTCTCATCCCTGAGGCAGGAAGTATTAAATGTTTTGGTTGGGAATGCACATCAGTTTTTGAAGGCAAGCTGTTTTAAAACAAATTTCAGTTACATCTAAGGTTTAAACTGTTAAAAAGTGTTGTTAACAACCGTCTTGTGAATACTGTGTGCTTGAAGCCCAAATATGATGTAATGGGTAACCAGTTCTCCTAATGCTGTATAATCAGCTATGCTTGAAGCAAAACGCTTCTGGCAGAGTATAAGGAGTCTGCTGTGGAGACAAACTGAGCAATTGTTTGCTATAGAAAAGAAAATTAAGGCCCCTTTTGCCTCTCTCTTTGAAAATAATGCTTGAAATGTGTATGGGGAGAAGTAGTGGGTTTGCTCCACCCTAATACTTGAGAAGCCAGGGAGATAAAATACAGGCCTCATAATTTTAGATTTAATATAAGTGCTTGGGCGATTATTTGGATAGTCATCTCTGGCTGACTTTACTCTGGTGTCTCACAGAGCCTGTGAAAAGTTTAATTTCATATTTGGTTGCTTTAATACATGTGGTGACCTATGTGCTTTTAAAAAAGGCAGTTGCAGATTATACAGTGCAATATAAGCTGGTGAGGATTAATTTGGATTGACGCTTTCTGTTCTGAAACAGTGACTCTCCCTTTAGAGGTCAAAAAAAAGAAAAAAGAAAGTAGATAATGTACATTTTAATTTGAGTAAAGGTAATACTTAGCCCTTCAAGTTTATCAGCACTTCTTGCGTAAAAGAGTAATTTTGTACAGCCCTCTCACAAATTGCTTGGGATGGTCTGTTAGTATGGGAAGAAAGTGAACGTTTACTTCTACAGAGACAATCCATGTGTTGTCTGTCTTTCTGTATAATAGCCTTCTGCTTATATTTAGAGGTTCGTTTTGTCACATTAGCTCCCAGTTGATTTCATAAAATCATAGAGTTGGTGGAGACCTCGTGGGCCATCCAGTCCAACCCCCTGCCAAGAGGCAGGGAAATAATGTTTAAAGCACCTCTGACAACTGGCCATCCAGCCTTTGCTTGAAAGCCTCCAAAGAAGAAGCCTCCACTACACTCCGGGGCAGAGAGTGCTACTGCTGAACAGCTCTCACAGTCAGGAAGTTCTTCCTTATGTTCAGATGGAATCTCCTTTCCTGTAGTTTGAAGCCATTGCTCCACATCCTAGTCTTCAGGGCAGCAGAAAACAAGTTTGCTCCCTCCTCCCTATGACTTCCTCTCACATATTTATACATGGCTATCATGTCTCCTCTCAGCCTTCTCTTCTGAAGGCTAAACATGCCCAGTTCTTTAAGTTGCTCCTCAAAAGGCTTATTCTCCAGACCTTTGATCATTTTAGTCGCCCTCCTCTGGAAACATTCCAGCTTGTCAACATCATGCTCCAACTGTAGTGGCCAGAACTGGACACATTGTGATTCCAGGTGTGGTCTGATCAAGGCAGAATAGAGGGGCAGCATGACTTCCCTGGATCTAGACACTAGACTCCTATTTATGCAGGCCAAAATCTAGTTGACTTTTTTAGCCTCCATGTCACATTGTTGGCTCATGTTTAACTTGTTGTCCACAAGGACTCCCAAGATCTTTTTCACATGTACTGCTGTTGACCCAGGCATTCTACATTCCTTATCTTTGCATTTCATTTTTTTCTGCCTAAGTGGAGTATCTTGCATTTGTCTCTGTTGAACTTTATGTTGTTAGTTTTGGCCCATCTCTCTAATCTGTTAAGAGCATTTTGAATTCTGCTCCTGTCTTCTGGAGTATTGGCTATCCCTTCCAATTTGATGTCATCTGCAAACTTGATGATCATGCCTTCTAACCCTTCATCTAAGTCATTAATAAAGACGTTGAACAGAAATGGGCCCAGTACAGAACCCTGGAATGCTTTGTTTTTCCCCTAGTTGGATTTTGATGCTACTGCTTCTTGTTTAACTTGGACTGTCTAGAGTTGTCTATCAAACATGAAATACTATTTAAATCTAAAGTGAAGAAAAACAAACTGTGTTACATCATCCCAGCAGCCTATCTAGTCTTAGAAAAAAATTAGTGTAGCGGTTACCATAACTGCAGTTGGAAATATCTGAGCTCTGGTCTCCACCTTGGCAAAAGAAAAAAAAATGACTTTAAGGGAAGGTTTTGAAACCCTGTAAGGGAGATTGAATCTGGGTGTCAAAGGGAGAAGGTGTTAGGAGTTTGGAGTGATAAAGAGGATTAGTGGGAGGCCTGAAATTGGTCAGTTGGCTAGCAGAGATAGCTAGTGAGTAGGTTTTTACAGCTATTAGAGAGATAGCTAGTGGAGGATTGTAGAGGTAGATCCAGGATAGGACTGTATGTGTGGAGGAGTTTAGAAATTACTGTCAGAGAAGCAAATCCTGTCCGTGAATTCTGTGGAGGGAGAAAGAAGTGTATCATGTGTAACTAAGTCTGAACTGTTTTAAGTAACCACACGCTTGAAACAGCTAAGCTTGATACCTGAATTGTTCCAGTTCTCTTAAATAAACATAATTGTTTTGTTGTTCACAACAACTGCCTCACGTGTGCCTCTGTGGGTGAAGTTTTAAAAGCAGTTTCCTGCAACAATCACGAGTCTATGGTATCAGCGTATAATCTAAAGAATCATCTTTTAGTGTTACCTCAGTATACAAGCCTGAGGGCTAATCCAACACACTCTTGCCTAAGATACCTCAAGTAAGCCAAGGGCTTATCAGTGCTTTTAAGTTGATGGTGGCCAGTGGGCTTTCAAAAAGGCCAGAAGAAAGTTCTAGCTTTCCTTACAGCTTTTGGTTTTGGGGCTTTTAATGGGGCCTCCGGTGGCGCAGTGGGTTAAGTTCTGTGCTGGCAGAACTGAATATAGACAAGTCGCAGGTTCGAATCCGGGGAGAGGCGGATGAGCTCCCTCTATCAGCTCCAACTCCTCACGCGGGGACATGAGAGAAGCCTCCCACAAGGATGATAAAAACATTAACTTATCTGGGCGTTCCCTGGGCAACGTCCTTGCAGACGGCCAATTCTCTCACACCAGAAGCGACTTGCAGTTTCTCAGGTTGCTCCTGACACGACCAAAAAAAATATATCACAGAAGCCTTAATCCAATTTAAGTGGCCTTCTGCTTTAGGGATTTTTTTATTCCCAAACAAATCTTCTACACTGTTATAATTGGTAGAACAGCTTTGGGATTTTTATTCCTCCAAATAAAGCCTCAACTCCTTTATACAGGACATAACCACAATAGTACTGTGACAGTAATTTTCATCCACAAATGGCACTGCCTGTGATGTTGTTACCGTTTCCGACATGGCTACCCTATGACAAACCCTATCACAGAGTTTCTTTGGCAAGATTTATTCAGAAGGGGTTTGCCTTGTCTTCTCCTGTGGCCAAGAGAGTGTCTCTTGCCCAAGTGGGTTTCCATGGCTGAGCAGGGATTCTAATACTGAGCTCCAGAGTTATAGTCCAGCACTTAACTCACTACTCCATGCTGGCTCACAATACTGTCTCTTATACTGGTGATAAAATATATGCATCGCCATGTTTAACGCATTCTTTAGGATGTATGGTTAAAGATGATAGTAGTCTTCCTTAGTGCTCACATTATACTAGCCAACTCTTACATGGCATTTTTGTTGTGTGGATGCTGCTATTGCAGCACCATTCTATCTCACACTTCAAAGTGGCATAAGTCCCAGTGTGGGACAAGCATGTGTATACTATGCCAGCATTACTCCAGAACTAAGTATAATGAGAAAAGGAGGCATTGTTGATCCTTACCCACAACTCTGCAAAGATGATCAACTTGTAATGATCAAAGGCTGGTAGTGATTTCATCCCGGGATTTATCTATTAGGTTGCTATTATAGAATGTGATAATTTAAATTGGGGACTAAAAATGTTAATGAATTGTGTATATCATAAATTGTCTTTTAAAACATATTTTCCCCTAGATTGAGAAGCCTGTATTAGAGGGTTGGATGAGTAAAAGAAATTTCATAACCTTTCAAAGCCAAGGGATGCCACTTTAAAATATGGAGTGGCTTAGACTACACAGCTGTGTGTTGAGAGGAAGAAGTCATTTATTCCCAGATGACTGAATTATGTGGCATCAAATTTGCTTCTCACTACTTATTTTCCCCCCACTTCATCTCAAATATTTATGACCCTGATACATCTTGGTGAAAGGCCTGCATAATCATAGTGGCCACAAGACGTCAGTATTTTGCTATTCTGGAACAGCAGCGAAGTTGACTAAATTGCGGAGCATAAGGAACTTGTCGAACTTGTATCTTTTTACAATGTTAGAGATGTATATGTTTTAATCATCCCATTGTGGTCTTGTCTACAGTCAAATGTATATGTGTTGTATACAGGAGTGTTAATCCTTATGAGAGCTAGGAAAAGTACTTTTTGCACTACGCATCCCAGAATCCTCCAGCCAACATGACCAGTAGCAACATTGATTGCAGGATTCTTAGAGCTGTAGCCTGGGGTTTCCAAACCCCTTATTTTTTATTGCAGGAACGCTTTGAAAGACCTACCAGTTCCAACTACATATGCTGAGATAATTCAAAGAAAGAGTGTAGCTTCTAGACTTTAATTAATGTTGTATTTGGTCTCTAATAGAATCAGTCCAGTGTCTCTGAATTGCCAAAAGTTGCTGAAGATAAGTAAGGTGCAAACTAAAAATAGCCACCTTCTGTTGCTTGCCTCCACAGTATGATTGCAGTATTTTCCAATGCCCTAAGACGTTGGTGGGCAGACTTCAGGATGTTAACATAGAGAAGCGGTACTTGGGAAGCTAAATGCAGTGAGAGGGATACTTTGAATTTTAGTAGCAAATG